AGATAGATAGATAGATAGATAGATAGATAGATAGATAGATAGATAGACAGACAGACAGACTCTCAATGTGAATCAGTTCTCATATGAGAATTGAATTCACTAGGTTTAGAGTAAGAATTTTAGATTTTCAAATCTGTCCATTTCTCAAAAATTAATATATTTTGATGTCTGTGGGAATCCTTATAATTGGTTCCTGAATATTTATGCTTGTTTCCTTTATCTTACAGAGGGCATAAACAAGGTAAATTACGGCCAACTACTGTTGTTAGCCATTATTCCCAGTTTCCCTTGGAGAATCTATTTGAAGAAGTACAAGGAAGGGAAACTCATTCTATTTAAATGAGAGAACTTTCTTCTCATTCTGAACAAGACAGCCAATAAAACACAAATATTGCATTCTCCAGTGTTGTGAGTTTTCAAATTTTGATATTTTAATAGCCAACTCTACATTCCAGAATAAGTCTTCTTAGTTCAGCATGCCTGGAATCTTGGCCATGATTAAAACCAATCTGGCTTAGTTTAATACATAAATACTGCAAAAATACACAAATGATACATGCATGTGCCTTTTCCTCCTGTGGATTTTAAAGCAGAAAGCTTTTTGATATAGTGTTTCTAATGAAAACACACATATTCCCAATAGGGAACATAATTTTGAGGCCAGACCACATAAAATAAATGTTTCTTTATTCCCTTCAGTAAAACTAAGAACTATGTCAACAAAATATTTTGCTATTCAGAAGACTCTGGAATACAAAATAACATTTTTAAAGATTTCAAAAGGGCTGCGTGATAATAAAACTACAATTAAACAGAAGTATCTGATGACAATATAAAGCAGTTTACAATATTGATTGTTATTCTGATTGCTATTTCTGTTTTAAGCCTTAAAAAATATTGCTGAAGAAATGTGTTCATGGAATCGTGATGGTGAACCTATGCCACGCATGCCAGAAGTGGCACACAGAACCATCTCTCCAGGCACATGAGCTGTCGCCTGTTGCTCTTCCACATTCTGGTGTGCCGGCCAGCTGTTCTTCATGCATGCGGGAGCACCAGAAACTGGGAGAGCAGCCACCCAGCACACATGTGTGCACCAGGAGATGATCTTCCTGTTTCCAGCATGCGCATTTCATACTGGCCACCTTGTCTTCCAGTTTCTGAGGTGCAGGCATGCGCTAAGACCAGCTGACTGGTCACATGCACACACCAGAAACTGGAAGATCATCTTCCTGGCCCACCGGGCAGCTGCTCTTCCAGTTTCCGGCATGTACATGTGCACTGACCATTTGGTCTTTGTGTGCGCATGTATGCCAGAAACTGGAAGACAAGGTGGCTGGTGCGCATGTGCACACCAGAAACCAGAAGAGCAGCTACCCGGCATGTGCATGTGCATCCGGCGGCTTCTTTTCTGGTTTCCAGCACACGTGTGCCTTCCCATTTTGGCGCTTGGTGCCAAAAAGGTTCACCAACACTGTCAGAGAAGATATCTTTCACCTGCCAAAAAATAAACATGCCACTTTACAAAATAACAGAGTAGAGAGGAGGGAATGTTAACTGTTACTTTTCATGTTTGGAATATAGGTCTGGTTCCAGAGTTCTTAAATGCCATACTGTGATCTCATATCACAATACAATGAATTTGTGTAATATATCATCTCCAAATAAAATGAATAATTTTATTGTATTAAGGTTGGACTATAAACTTTTAATAATTACTTTGTAATCTATAAAATAAAACAATATGTTATAATTTTATAAAATAGAACTGTTCCATGGACAATATCCCTGAAATACAATAACATTTAAAACCATATTTTAACAAAGAGAATAGGCTTGCTTACTGAATAATTAATGAAATCTTTAAATTTATTTTGAAGACAGCAAGTTCTCATTTACTCCCCCCCCCCAAAAAAAGTGGGTTTCCTTGCCTTAAATCAACTGTTTTTAACTGTTCTTAAAATGTAGAACACAGGTAAGAAGCTATATTTTGTTTTTAGTATTCTGTGTTCCATGTCAGCCCTTTTTTCCCTTTCAGCTTGGTACCTGGTACTTGGAAATTCCTTTCTCTTGAAACTTTTTCTTGTTAAAGGAAGGGGTATTTTCCCACCCCCATCACCTAATATGAAGTAAATCTGATAGAAAATCTTAAAGCAAAATATAAAACTGGAGCTACCCTTATCAGAAGTCAAAATATTAGAGTGGAATAAGATCCTGCAATTTTTAAACCTCACAAATTTTAATTTGGATTTTGATTATACTTACAATGCATGGAATAGGTTAACTGTAAAGTCTTCATTCAAATAAGGTGACTTAGTAGATAATTTCACAATACAAAACAATTCTTCTGTGGTTTCATTAGTCCAAAACTGCAGATTCCAAAATGAATCTAAATAGAAAGTTAAGCATTTTTTTTTAAAAAAAAAAAAAAAACATCCTTGTAACCCTAAACTCTAGAAAATAATTTATCATTCCCTCATTGGTGGTCTTATAAATGTAAAAATTATACTATATTTTAGCAAATCATTTTTGCAAATACAGAAATGGTGGAGTTTGTGTAATGAAGTCATATTTTATCATCCCCCACTTCTCCCTCATCTCATGGACAACCCCAAACAACTACTACAGGTATTATGCATATTTATTTATCCCTTCAATAATACCTGTAGACAAGACTGAGCTATCCAATTTCTCAATTGACACTGACTTTAACTCAATTCAAGCAGCAGTCAAAATTCCATTGCTGAAAAGATTTTTTTTTTAAAGCTATTGTAATTTGCTTTAATTTGGTCACTGTTTTATTCATGATCTATTTTAATGCATACAGTTTGATTTATTTATATTCTTTGCTCATATTTTCATTGTATAGCAGCTCTAACAATTTAAACTAATTTCAGTAATTAAGGCACATTTTCCAAGCACACCTATCTGCTGAAGTGTTGAACCAACAATTCTTGAAGAAATAAGTGCTTTGGCTTCCATTTCTGCAGTGTATGCAAAACAATTCATATATGTATCACTCCAGTGGCAACATAAGAAATTCTCTCCAGCCACCAATACAGTGGCATTGTCTCCAATTGTACCATGCACATCCTGCCAAGTGGAACCATCCTCTGCCATAGTTGGTATACAGGGCATTTCAAAGGTCTGTGGAGGAATCTGATATACCATGCAATGAGAAATGACCACTTGAAAGAAATCTAAAGAGAGGGGGAAAAAAGAATAGTTTGAATATTTTAAATAAGGAAGACCTAAATCTCTATTGCTAGTAAGGGAAAGCTTAGACGTACTCATAACTTTATATATCTTTAGTTGATATATGTTACATTAATGAATAGAATTTGATTGCAACAATTTTTAACAACAATGTTTTAAAAGACAAAATTATATTTAAATATCCAAATAACGTTCACTGTCACACAGTTTCTTATCTGTTGCAATTCTTAAACTACATTTAGTGGCTTAAATAAACTGAAATGTGTGGACCTAATTTTAGTAAGATGAGCTGGTATAATTCTAATAACTATTCAGAATGGCTTGATGTGTCATTCTAACATTCTTTTAGTATCGTACAGGGTGTAGATCCTGCCTGCCATAAACAGAAGCTTACAGGAGATCTCTGGGTTAAGAGTGAGATCCATTCCTGTCTGTCCTTAACTCAAAATTATATATATATAATTGATTGCCTATTACTAAAAAGGGTGGATAGTGTTTTTCCTTTCATGAATCACTGAAAACAGGTTGCATATTAAAAATTTGCAGCTTTTTCAACAGTAAATGCTTCAGGGATTCATCAGCCGGAGGAAGGAGTTTTCCATTTGTAAGTATGAGTAATCCATAAATCGGACATTCTTAACTTGGGGACTTCATGCTTCTAATCCACTGTAAATTCTATATATTTATTTATTTGGTACCTTCAAGTCACCGTTGACTCCTGGTGATTGCCATTTTCTTGGCAAAGTTTTTTCTTTTTTTGAAGTGGTTTACCATTACTGTACCTCCTTTCTAGGCCTGAGATAGAGGAACCGCCCCAAGGTCACTCAGCTGGTTTTGTGTTTAAGGTGAAACTAGAACTGATAGTCTCCTGGTTTCTAGCCTGGTGTCTTAACCATTACATTAAATTGACTCTCAGTTTAAAATTATTCCTACTCCTAAAACTGTTCTGGAGAATTGAGGAACTTGAGGCAAGAAAAATTAGCAAAATCATGTCTTTACCATTATATTATATTCAGAAAAAAGTCCAGTTGGTAAAGAAGAAGCCAGATTCAACCCACAGTATACATTTATACAGAAAATTAGCTATAACAAGAATCATATATGATAATATACTGTAATTAGGGGTGGAATTACACTACAGATGTGTCAAGCACATCTTCTAATGACACAGTTTCTGCAGTGGAATAGGAATAAATACTGTGGCAATAAGTATGATTGATTTGTTTTAACTATTAGTGCAATTATAAACTCATAAAATATATTTGAACTTAATCACTAGTTTTAACATTTGTAGAGATTCTGGCATCAAAAATTAGGATCATATTCTGCAATTTAAAAACGAATCCATCCTACAAATGAGAAGCAAAGACAAGATATTTCAACTTACTTAACTGTAGAAATCCTGTCAAAATGTTGTTCCAGTTCATCTTGTTCTGGTCAATGGAACTTGGAGGAAAATAGAGAGAAAGATCATTTACATTTCTACTATCTGAAAGAAGTTTCACAAGCTAATTTTTTGTTTACAAAAAAAATGCATTTTTCCCAGTAACTGCAGACTTGGGGATCCAGCGGGATTCTTATCAGACAAAGGCAATAATGAGGTAAATAACTGTCTTAGACAGACATTTCAGGTATCCAATGGGTGGCTTGCTCTTTGACGTTCGCCACTTCAATGTGCAAAGTGCCTCCATACAACCATTCAGGAAACCTTTCTTGGTGATGACTGTGTGTTGTTGGTGCATAAATATAGTGATCTATGGTTGATGCTGAACAGATTCTCAGAAGCTGCTATGCATTTCAGCTGACTATCAAATTGAATAAAACTGAAGTACTTTACCAGTCTGTGCCAAATACCAAGCCTGTACAACTACTGTTGACACCATTCAGCTGGCAAATGTAAACAGCTTCAAATACTTGGAGTGATGAGTCTTTGGACCACAAAATTGATTCCAGGATCAGAAAGGCCAACCAGGCATAGGGATGCTATGTATTAGAGTGATAAATCCACACAACATTCATATCACAGCAAAGCTGAAATCTACAGAGCTGTGAGTATCCCTTCCTTTCTATATGGAATTGAGTTCTCAACTCTACATCAAACAACAAATAAATTTTCACGGGGTGCTCTCTGTTCCATCTTTGGAATTTGTTGGCAAACGGTGTCTCCAAGTTGGAGGCTCTGGATTGTGTGGAGTCCACCAGCATGCAGTCCCTGATTATCAAAGCCCTGATGAGATGACTGGGACATGTCATCAGAATATATGTCTGCCATATGCCTTGCCGATTGTTCCACAGTATACTGGAATCTGTGAAGACTTTGAGGTTGATCGTGCAAGCTCTAAAGAGACACTGAGAAAGAAACTCTGTGCCACTGTGACATCCAGCCAAGAAATTAGAAGCTGTGCTGCTGACAGAACCTGCTGTTGAGCATTGTGCCATGGGAGCCATCAAAAACTGACAGAAAACCATGAGCAGTGTCACAAAATAACATCCACACTTAGTATAGCAATGGATTTCCATTCCCCGCTTTGTGCTAGACTCTGTGCTTCCAGACATGGATTCTGTTCTCCGTCTCCACAAATGAACAGCACAACAGAATGTCTTCTTTGAAATAAAGGGATATAATAACATATAATCACATCATATCATGCCATAATATAGAAAGCTACTCTTTTGATAGATTTAACATAATGATAAAAGTACAAATATATAATACCATGCCAAATAGAATGAAGGAAAACATACATTTAAAATTCCAAAAGATGTACAGTGGTGAGATTTGAAGAGGGGAAAAAATTATCCAGGCAGATATATAGTGTCTGTTGGCACCATCTTAAGCCAAATGCACGTAAATGTGTGGTTTCCTTAAGATGTTGCCAACAGGTACAATGGGAGTATCCACACATGCTCCCAATGATTGTTTCTTTTGGATTGCTGAGTAGCCAATTAAACAAGCTTTCCAATGATGTGTTTTACAGTAGTCTCAAAACATTTAAAAATTGTATTTAATGGAATGTATTGCTCAAATTTATGTTTGCAACTCTTTAAAAAGAAATTTAAAAAGTGTAGAGGAAAGCACAGTGCCTATTAATATAATAGTGTGTGTGTGTGTGTGTGTGTGTGTGTGTGTGTGCAGTGAAAACCAGTGGTAACACCAGCATCCACAGGGAATTAGGGTCAAAAAAGTCATTTGCAGCAGTGTGATGAAAGCACTGTTCTTTTCTAGGAGCATGTGATATGACAAAGAAAAGGATTAGTGCTTTAACTATACTTCCATATCCATCATCTTGCCTTTAATTTCCTCTTCCCAGAGATAAAAATGAGCATTCGGGGAGATTACTCAATTTCTTTTTAATTTCTTTTTAATTTCCCTAAACTTTGATGGTTTCCACAGATTCCCAGCATTTATAAAGCTACTGGTGGTGGTATCAGCATCCTACCTCTTTATATTAGGTCAGATTGCTTTCTATAAGTTTCTGCCCTACAAAAATATCATGGAATAGGTGCATGTGAAAATATCCTAAGATATGGAAAAATAATTTTCAAAAATCACATCTACTTAAAATCAAAATTTAAAAAGTTGCAGATGGATGTACATTCATACTGCAATGTGCTCTAAAACAGACTTTCCACATTATTTCTAAAGTGCTGCACAGTCCTATTCCTTATTTCTTTAAAAGCTTAAATAATGTATAGAATCATTTATGCATGAAAGAGTGACCAAAGTATAAGTAAGTATAATAATTCATATTTGTGCTACGAAGCACTAGATGAATAGCATACAATAACACTTGGCTGAAAAATGGAATATGAAACAATCAGAATACCTTAAAGTATGGATGTTACATAAGATAGAGACAAGAAAATGCTCAACTCTATGCTATCAAATCTAAAGTCTTGAACCATCTAAACAAATTGTAAAGTCTTGAACCATCCACTTGTTTCTAGTTAGTCCTAATATAAGAAAGTAAAGGACAAGATTACAGAATGTATAGGTGTGCCCGCGTGCACACACATATACAGAAAAACCTTTTAATACAGCTGAAGAGCCTTCAAAGTTTTGTTATTTGTGAATAGAGAGATTTAGGGGGGGTGATACCACATATTTTTGGGGTTTAAAATTGTAGTTATTATCTTATGTATTGTTATTATATATGCTTATTTGTAGGAACCACTGAGCACTTCAGTGATTGTGGCAGAATATAAATTTGTTTAATAAATAAATAAAATAATAAAATAAAGTTGGAAATATTTCTGAAAATAGGGAGTTTGAACCTCACTGCCACATATGGAGTAACAGAAATGGAATAGAAGCCTAGATTACAAAAAGAAAGAATAAAAAGAACAAATGAATAAATCACATCTGCCTACTGTGAAATAAAGTGACAGCAAATTTATTTTACTCAAATAGGCAACAGATCTTTTAGCTTTGTTGAAGAAACTTAAGGCCTATATGACATCACTGATCCAAAGGGCATTTAATCAGGATTACTTGAGTTTCAGAATATTCACAAAATGTTTCTCGTTTCATTTCAACTACCTTGGAGATGTCAGATAATTTAAAGTTCAAGTTATTTAAAGAACACATCTCCTCCTACTTAACTTTGGTTTATATTCATTGTCAACTTTAGATTGCATGTTCCTTGAGCTAGTGGCATTATTTTCATGCTCCTACCAAGTGGGTTGTATGCATTATGCTTATGTAAAAATAATGCATATATTAGAATACTAGAATTCTTAAAATCAACAAAATCAATAAGCATTTTCTGAAACCTCAAATAATACATTTGCTGACATTTTAGCTTTCAGGAAGCTATTGTTTCCCTTAGTCTTTCAGCCAAACTTCTGTCGTGTTAGGGACAAATATAAGAATTATATTTATATCAACATACTGGTGTTTGTTAGTGGTATTTCCACAGATTTTGGGTCAGTGATTATTAAAAAGGTACGTGTAATCATGTGCTAAACAATATAATCTTAATTAAATAACTGGTGTAAAATTGGAATTGTTAAGCTCCTAACAGTAAAAATATCAAGACAACACAAAAGAGAGATCTCCACCAAAAACTTTCAATTTTCAACACCATATCAATTTTAAAGTGAAATAAAAATACCTGTCCATTATGGTCATAAGTTGTGATGGTTGTAAACTGGATCATCAAATGGAGTCCCTGCAGATGTTACTCCACTAGTCATTGCCAGCTCTAGGGGGCAATGCCCATCTCCATTTCAATACCATTGAGCCAGCGCTATCATGGAGTGCTGTTACTTTCCCACCAAATGATACCTATTTATCTACTCTTATTTGCATGCTTTCCAAATGCTAGATTGGCAGGAGGTGAGGTGAGGATGAGAGCTCAGCCTGTCCTGCGGGGAACTCAGGCCTCAAACTTGGGCTGCCAGCTATTCAGCCGACAAGCCCAGGGTCTTAATCACTGAGCCACTGCGCTGCCTTGGTCATCATATGATTAATCCAATTTTATGAGCTTGTTCTATCACTATGGTTATTATGTCAATCCATGGTAGTTAAGCAAACCCATTTTTCACTGTGGGGGCATATCGATCTTAAGTGCTATTGCTAAAAACATCATAAATCATGCTCACATGATTGCAGGATGCTGCAAATGGCCATAAATCAGCACTATTTGCCATATGCCCCAAATACAGTCATGTGGCTACAACAGGCCCCTAGCCATCAGAATTTTGGAGCCATGTCATAAGTATCTTTTTGGAGGTCCATGGTAAGTCTAGGACTACTGATATCTGGAATTGGCATAAGTATGATAGGAAATGCAGAGCATCTAAACCTGAATCCGAATGGACAAAATGTTCTGTTTGTTTCTTTGTTTAAGATTATACTTCTAACAGCAAGTTTTCCACTGTAATTTCAGAAAAGAATGCATGTGTGTGTGTGTGTGTGTGTGTGTGTGTTCATTTGTAAGTTTTTATAATAGAAGTAACTTTTTCTCTGTTCATAGAAATCTGATCTTATGAAAGGTATTTTATTTGTTTTCCCCAACAGAGCCATAAGGATTTTAATTTACAATTCAGTTATTGAGACTTGAATAGAACAAAAAGATGTCAACATTTTAAACCTTTAAAAAATTAAATTCAGAACAAAGCTATAAAATGTCAGCAAATAAATATTAGAAAATGGGAAAGACTTCAATGATTTGATTGAATTTTAACAGGTTGCAGTGATTTAATGTGTCATGAATTATCATTGCTTTGAATCCCCAATATAATATTTTAGAAAAGCTAAAATAAAATTTACTTCAAATTAATTCACATTTTAATAGCAAACATGAATATACTTTGGAGAATATTAGTAAATATCCTGCTATTCCTAGATGTCTTTTCATATTACAAACAAAACAATTTACAAGAGAAAAAGATTTACCAGTAGAGTAAAATCTAATCCCGTACTTTACATCAATAAGAATTGG